GTGAGTGCATTTTGCAAATTTCATAATCCTCTTGTGATTTCCTCCCAATTTGCTGCTTTTTTTTTTGAAAATTGATTGAAATCACGACTGGGAGCTGGAGATGTTTGAAATATGACAGATACGAACGTGCTCGTTTAGAACAAGCTGCCCGTGTTTCATCCCTTAGCTGTAAATTACGAGGTTGGCAGGGTGTGACAGATAAATATATATACCCCGTTGAAATGTGTTTTCGAGTGCAAACAAATGCAAAAATGTAAAAAATAATTAAACCTAACAAAAATTAGTCAACAAAACATTTATTTATGAACAAATAAACACAGACTTGATCGCGATAGGGGTCGATCGAGAATGATGGATCCTGGAGAAGGAACACTTTGAGCAATGATGGACCTTCGGCATGCTCCACCCGAGCAACTTTCATGAATCGTGTGCTGCCCAAACTGGAAATTTCATTGGTTCGTAACATTTTCCAAGAAATTAATATTATAATTCGAAAATTTAATTTTTTCTAAAAAATCGTGTACTGCCCAAGCTGAAATTTCACTGGAAGCTAATTCAAAAAGTTAATTTTTTTTAAGATTTGGCAAAATCGGTTTTTTTTGAAATTTTGCGCACAAAAATTCTTTATTAATATTAACTCAAAAATACGGATGTGACATCAAAATTTCATTCGAATTTATTAATTTTGATATAAATTCCGAAAAAAAATACTTCGTAAGTAGTTGTCTTTGCTAAAACTAACTTAGTATCTATCGATTACGAAAGTAATATTTTTCAATTTCACTGTACCACCTCCTCAAAAAGCAAGAAATCCTATCAAAATTATTGGTTGGGGAGCATTGGTATATCATAATTATTGAGGTAAAAAAAAAAAGATTAGCGGCGATCCGATAAGGTTATGAAATAATGAATGGTGAAAGTCTGTGAAATACAGCGTATCTTCGATGAAGTACTGCGATTCTGATCCGATGACAGAAATATCATTAAGAAAATGTATGGGGAAAACAGTTGGGCTGAATGGATAAAGGACTGAATGGACAGATGGATAAAGCGAATTACTGAATGGTACCCAGGCAATGTTAAGGGGAGCAGAAAAGATCGTTAATGTGGTGAAAAGATTCGCTGGAATGCCTATAAGGAATTATGTGAATGAGAGAGCTTAAAACAGAGAAGAATGGAGAAGTTGCCAGCAGCTGCATCAGCGGCGAAAAGAAGCAATAGTTTATCAAAATTCCAATTCCAATCTTTTATTAGTATTCATTTAGTTTTTATGCGTTTTGTGCTGCAACAGTTGTACAAAAGGTTTGGTGTCGAGACTGTTTCTGTGTGTATGTGCGTGCGTGTGTGTGTGTGTTTGTGTGTTTGTGTGTGTGTGTTTGTGTGCGTGTGTGTTTGTGTGTGTGTGTATGTGTGTGTGTGTGTATGTATGGGTGTGTATGTGCGTGCGTGTGTGTGTGTGTTTGCTCCGCGTACATTTTTTTCTTAATTAAGAACACAAATGTTTCTATTACACATGAATGTTTGACTTACAACACATTCAGACTGACGCACAGAAGACTGTTAGGGGAAAAAAAGACCCTCCTAATGCACTCAGAAAAATTTCTACTTTTTTTTGACGAACTCGGAATGTTAATAAATGTCCACATGGAATTATATGAATGAGAGAAGCTCAAAACAGAGAAGAATGGAGAAACTGCCAGCAGCAGCATCAGTGGCGAAAAGAAACAATAGCTTATCAAAGTTCCAATTCCTATCTTTTATTAGTATTCATTTAGTTTTTATGCGTTTTGTGCTGCAACAGTTGTACAAAAAAACATATATTGAAGCACTGTCTGTGCGGATGTGTTTCGAATGTAATTTTTTTTAATAAAAACACAAATGCTACTGTTGCACGTGAATGTTTCATTAACTAAGACACATTCAAACTGATGCATGGAAAACTACGGCTTACGGGATGAATGAAAGGGGAAAATACCCTCCTAAAGTACTCAGAAAAATTTCTATTTTTTTTTTTGATGAACTCGGAATTATGTGAATAATGTCTTCATGGAATTATGTGAATGAGAGAGGCTTAAAAAAGAGGAGAATGGAGAAGTTGCCAGCCAATGCATCAGTGGCGAAACGAAACTAAAACCAACGGAAATGCCACTAGCATTACCCCGAAAGTAGCCCTAATACAGTGAAAATGGCCTAGTTCTCGAATGTACCCGTCATTGGAATGCATTGAAAAAATACCGAGAG